TTATATATATATATATATACATAAACTAGAAGACCTGGCAGTTAAAGTGGTTAAAATCCTTGATGGTATTTTCTCTAAGTTACTCTCCATTCCTATTATAATAATCTATCTCTCAATATGAAATAGTGCCCTGTAAGGCGCCAACATGATTTTAGCATTTATTGCATTAAGTTTATTCATGAGATTGCCGAGGGTGGCGATGATCTACATACCCTTTCAATTCATGTATGCTGTTGTAAAAATAGGAAACGCAGAGAAATTGCTGCCAGATTCTTTCCTTTTTGTTTTCTCAAGTATTGGCAAAATTTCAAATGGGGATCATAAACTGTTGTCGCCGGCGTTTTATTAAAATTATAACGGCCTGACAAGATAGAATATTGAGACCCCGGAGGAGAAGACTCTGTTTTCGCCACAAAATTGATATGGTAATTCTGAATAATTGTGAAACTAGTGGGGCGCATGGCATCGTGCCTTAAGGCAAATTGCTGGAACTTCCCGTACTGTAATGAAATATTCGAGAAATTTTAAACGTTTTCAAATATATTATTACAAATACTGTAACTTTCATTATTTTTGCTATCTTGTAATATCTGAGCAAATCAAATGTAAATCATAAATCAATTTATCTCCAGAACATTAACAATCGTCATTTCATTTCGAATTCAATTTCAAAAAAAAATAGTTGCCTAATTTACACAAAATTGAAAAATATAGCTCCCGTATAGCCACAGTCTAAACGCATTTGCAAATAATTCTGTGCGACATTTTCACTTATACTGTGCTTAGCTTGGCGGCATTTTCACATTTTTCAATAGTTTTCACAAAATTGGAAAAGTGCTCCATTACATAAACAGCCTAAACGCACTTGGGTAAACATTTGTACCAGAGTGGCGCTTAGACCGTGCTTAGCCTGGGTAATTCTTTGAATTTTTAATCCAAAATTACAAAAATATTTTATGGAAAATAAAAAAAAGATGTAATAATTTTTTATCCTCAAAAGCAATTGTTTTGTCAATACAAGCAGAAAGTTTTTTAGATCATTCAAATCGGACGCTTAGTTCTCTCAAAAACTGCCATTTTTTGCACATTTAGCTCTGTATCTTCGAAATGGCGAAACCTATCTTTGCTAAAAACTAATGACGTCTTCTCCCAATCATTACAAATTCAATGTTTTTTAGATCATTCAAATCGGATGCCCAGTTCTCTCAAAAAAAACGATTTCTATTTTCTGCACTCTTTGCTCTTTATCTCCGTAACGGCTGGACTTGCCTTTGTGAAAAACTAATCAGCACATCTCCCTATCAATAGGAATCGAATGTTTTTTAAATCATTCAAATCGGTTGATCCGTGCGGGGACGAAAAAATGCGGACATACAAAATACAAAAACACATCCATTTTTTCTGAAGTATGCCAAAATATTCAGAAACCTTCAAAACGTCGAAAAATGCAAAAATTTTCATTTTCGACTTTCGGCCCATTACTATAACTACCCTACGGGAAGTTAAAAATTGTTTATTGTGTGCCAAATTTTGACATTTCCTGGACGTTTGAAAAAAAATTTCAGCGCACCCATGTTATGTTGCCATAACATGGTTATGTTATTCAAGAATACACCTAAGTCTGTTTTTACACGGATGATTGGTTCCAGAAAAAGCCGTGTAAAAAAAGAAGTGTAAAAAAAGACATTGATCTTATACAAAAATGGGTGATTTGTTACTAATCTCTAAAACCTATTAAAATTAGAATAATTTTCAAGAACAAGAATTCATGTTTATTTTAATAATAATTCCCCTAAATTAGTGCTATTCACATTTGCTTTGACCAGTAAAAATTGTTTGTACGCACTAAAGGGGAATTCACTTAAATCTTTAAGCCAGTGTTCGCGAACTATCGATACTATCGATGGTTTCAAACTTTTTTCTTTCATAAATACTTTTTTTTGATATGAACATACTTCGCAAAAAATTAAATTTGACAAAAAAAATTTAAAAGTACATAAAATTTCAAATCGTGCTAAAAAAATTAAAAATATTCAATTTTCAAACCGTGTTATATCAAAACCGTGCACAAAAAGACCGTGTAAAAACAGACTTTAGTGTACACTCATTAATTTCATTTACCTCATTGATGTGCTTATAAGTCTTGATCAGATCCACACTGAGTTTCCTCAACGGCGCCTGCGACGGTTCTCGGAACCTCCTCGGTATGCGCGCCTGCATCGCATGAAGTTCACCAGCCGCTGCTGCTGCGGCTGCAGCCGAAACTTGTCCAGACGTGCAGGTGACACCGCCGGCGGTCTGCACACCACCGGCGGTGGACAGTGGTACGGTGCCGGTGACCGTCGAACCGATTCCGACGGAGGAGAGGTACTGTTGCTGACCTGGTAATAGAAATTTATTAATTATTTCATTATTTTATAAAAAAAAATCTTAAAATTTGATCTGGTGTCAAAATTTTACCAATTTTTCATATTAAAATTATTAAAAGTTAATTAAACATATAATAGAAGAGGACTGTAACCACCACACGATTGTTTCTTCACAGACATTGAATTGCAGTAACCCTGAAGCTAATATAATAATCTTATAATTATTAAAAGTTAATTAAACATATGATAGAAGAGGACTGTAACCACCACATGAATGTTTCTTCACAGACATACCTGAAGTAAATATAATAATCTTATTTTAAATATACACAACTATTTTCCTAAGCAGATACTTTCTGTATTTTTAAAAGTGTTACAAAGCATTTTTATTGCTTTGTAACACTTTTTATATTTACATCATCGAGGTTTAGGCAACTGCCCTTCCATATTGATCTAAGGAAAAATATGCCACAATAGGACTTAGCCAAGTACTTGTAATTGCATCTAGACAAAAAGTTGAATTGGAAAATCCACCACAAAAGAACTCCGCCAAGTACTAAGGACTGCATCTAAACAAAAAGTTGATCCACATCAAGAAAAAGAAAAATCAACTCAAAAATAATTTCCAAAAATTGTATCGTCCTTTAGGATCGAGATCAAACTTGTCAACTTCTAATAAACTATTGATATATATACAAAACCATTTTAAAACCAACTTGGACATATGGCATCCAGTTCTGGGGCTGCACTAGTAAACTAGTATCAAAATAAATAAAACTTCAAAATAAAATCTTGAAATCTGCCTAAATACGTCCCAAACTGGTCTATACATCAAGACACCAATATGTTCACCAAGAAAAAGCAGACTTGGAACTGCATCTAGACAAAAAGTTGAATTGGAAAATCCACATCAAGAAAAAGAAAAATCAACACCAAAATAATTTCCAAAAATTGTATCGTCTCTTAGGACCTAGATCAAACCTACAATAAACTATTGATATACATTCAAAACCAGGTTTTTGCCAGTTGTCTGTTTTTTCTCGACAGTTTTACCATTTTAAAATCAACATGGACATATAGCATCCAGTTCCGGGGCTGCGTTAGAAAACTAGCATCAAAATAAATCAAAAACTTCAAAATAAAGTCTTGAAAATCTGCCTAAACATGTCCCAAACTGGTCTATACGTCAAGACACCAATATGTTCAACAAAAAAATAACAGATCTCTGTCTGTTTCTGAGATGTCTGTTTTATCTTGGTGAACATATTGGTGCCTTGATGTATAAGCTAGTTTGGATCATATTTCAGCAGATTTTCAAGATATTATTTTGAAGTTTTTGATTTAATTTGATGTTAGTTTACTAGTGCAATCCCAGAACTAGATGTCATATGTCCCTGTTGATTTTAAACCGCCAAGAAAAATCAGGCAACTGGAAAAAACCTTTTGGTTGTTAACATTTTGAAGAGACTAAAAAAAGCACACCCCCTAGACCTCTGCAACATAGATAAAATTTAAATCTTTTTAAATTTAAATCTGCTTTTTATTTAAAGCAGAAGCAACACTGGCTACTTCTACTTTTGTCATTTATATAGAATTTGAATTATATATAATATCTTTAGATTTACTATATGTCCACTAAGGACAGTTGTAAGTTATAAGGTGAACTAAAAAAAAAACATCGTGGTTTAAATCATTAAATACTAGTTGCAAGCCTAATTTTTATTTAAAATATTCCTCTCAATTCTGTTATAAATATCAATTATTTATTTATATTTATATCAATTCTAATTAGGACAAACCGTCATTTGAATATTGCGAATATTTCCACCAACTGCTACAAACATAATGGTCGCTTTTATGAATTATCATTCGAAAAAATATCGTTAGATCAAGTATAATTCATTTAATTATTTGCCAAAACTAAGATTGAGTTCACAACCAAACACATTTCAATTTTCGCCCAAAATATGTCTACTTCATAAATAATTTATACTTAATAAACGTTTAAATTCCATTATTATGAATCTCACATATCAACTTCATGACGATCAATCGATTTCAGTTTCCTGTCAGTTTGATTAATTTCGCTCATAAACAAAACACTTTGACATGAAATTCACAGGCAAAAATTCATGTTGCTTAGATTATACATAGAAAGTTTTGATAAATTTTATAACAGTGATATGTTTTTCTTCAAATGGCTGCTTTCACACACTTAAATGTTTATTAAACATGAAATTTTGGCTGGTAGTTCGCACGCCGACAAATCGAAACCTAAAACAACGATCGAGTGCAAAAAAATATTTGGTATGCAATAAAAAAGGTAAAAACAGTTGCTTTTAAATTTTAAGACAAAAATATAAAATATTGAACCAGTTTGTAAAAATATTTGCCATGGGAAAAGCAGATCTTTAGGGTTTAAAACTACCGAAAAACAAGAAAAGTGTGATATTTTTAAGAATACTATTATAGTAGAAGGCAAAAGATGTGTAACCATCAGGAGATACACGGCCAAGTATTATTTTAATTTTAGTTTTTGATGTAAAACTTCCTTTTTGCAACGGAAAAGCGTTACGCTCGAGTCAAGTGCCAATGATTCGTCATTCGCTCTCGGTGATATCATTTCTATACGGGTCGATTGTGATTGGTGGTCGTGTCGCGTGAGTATGATTGCTTTGATTGTATGCGTATACGTAGTAAGTCTCCGCATATAGTGAAAATAATAAAACAAATGAAAAATCTGTGCATGTAAGAAACGTAAGTTTATGGAAATAATTTGTATTCTTCGTTGTTACTATTAGAAATTATTTTTATAGGAAATACACATACTACAGACTGCTCAAAGAATGAGACTATAACGCCAGCGAAATAGTCAAAAAAAAAAACGAACAGTCAATGAATGTATGTTAAATTTTAATTACAAGACAAGTGAAACAACTGTTCTTGATCAATTATTAAAGCCTACAATTTCACTTTGCTGATCCTGAACGTAAAGTATTACAAAGTTGCATTTTTTTTTATAAATAATGAAGAATTAATTGATTATCATATTTATAACTCCAAACAAGAAATCAAGCACAACAATAGATTTTGAAGCTGTGTATCATTTATATACAGATATACTTCATATAATGGACATCTATGGAGTTTATTTATTGATAGTGTTAATAAAATTATTCAAGATTATTATATTGCAGCTGTCCACTGTGTGAACGAATATTATAGAATTTTTTAATCAGCAATTACTTCATTTCTCTAATGAAGGTTTATTTCTCAATGCTAATTACAATGACAAACCGATCATGTCGTATTTGAAGACTGACTGACTTTAATTACATTTGTCATTGATACTTTTCAGTTAGATTCAACAGTTTTCATATAACCTTTAAAAGAGCTTACATGTGGATGAGGTAAAAAGGACAAACTGAACCTTTTCCCTGGCAAATAAATAACAATATCCATTTTACAAAAGATAAGTTAAATAAATAGTTATTCCAAATCTGCTGATAAATATTTCTGTCGAAATACCAGATGAAGGTACATATATAGTAAAAAATGTAGCCATAAAACTTATATTTTGCATTGGTTAGATAATATAGATATTATTTCATAAAATTGAAAATAAGACATTGGATCTGTTTGTCCCCTAGCTGTCCTATTTTAACCCAACTATGGAGGACCAGGTGACAATTTTTTTGAAAACAACAAAAAAAAACATTTTTACTATGATTAATTAGCTGGGAGTTTGACTAAACATAGTCAGATAGTTGATTCTTTGATATGCGTTGTTTGTTTTGATATATGTGATAAGATTGTTTTTAACAATATAATTGCTCATAGCAAGTAAATATATTTCTACAATTCTACTGAACTTAGTTCGATAGTTGATTAATATTTGTTACTTGTTGTGAAAGAAGTTGGTTTGGTTTTCACAGTACATTTGCTGAAAATTGAAAAATTTATTGTTTTTCTAGTATTTTTTTATTATTCAGAAATTTTATTTCTTAATTGTACTATTATTATAATTTACTTTTATTTTATATTAAATCATCAAACTACGTACTGTAGTATGATGATTACTACGTAATGTAAATACTATCCTTTATTTTGTACTCTTTTTTATTTAAATTTATGTTATTGTTCATTATTACTGCTAGATGTTAATCATTTAACAGTTGCAATAAATATTGTAATTAAAAAAAAAGCTGAAAATCAAATTGGGACCTTTGTATTTCGTTCTACCCTACTACTCAACATTATATTTGTAATATTCTTATATTCGTATTCGTATGATTTTCAATTATTTTTCAATTATATAACCAAATCTACATCTAGGAAAGTTGAAAAATCGTAAAAGCGTATTCTATCACCTTCCAATTGCAATAAAAAAGTACTAAAACGTAGCGATTGATTTACAACGTCTTCAAACTCTCCAAAGAGACTTTTCACCCTTCATCATACACACAAGAGTTCCATTTAAAAATCAATACTCACCAGAATTGTGCTGCTGCTGCAATTGCAGCAACCCGCCCGCCGCCTGCAGCGACAGCTGAGCCGCGGACGCGTTGAAGGATGTCGAACCGCCGCCACTGCTGTCCGTGCAGTCGACGATGTGACCGTACAGCGGTCCGCCGCCGCCGCCGCCACTGCCGGTCAGCTGCTGCTGCTGCCCGCTGTTCGTTATCAAGCCCCTCTGAGACGCGATGGCCATCAGTGCTGGTGAAGGGAAATAAGAAGAATGTTAATTATTGAAGTTACTTACAGGTATTTTTAGAGGTTAAATGTTTATCATATTTTTAGTATATATACTAGCTGTTCCTGCAGACATTATTCGCGTAGATTTTTTTTAAAAAAAGTGAAGTACATCAGTTTTCTGTATTAGCCTTGTTATTGAAAAATTTTTTTATGCACATACAATATTTAGTCTGTGATTTTCTTGGTCTAATACAACAACACTTTTGAGATTTTCAAATTTTTTGCATTTCTCGACGTTTTGAAGGTTTCTGAACATTTTGGCATATCTCAGAAAAAATGGATGTGTGTGTATGTGTATGTCCGCATTTTTTCGTCCACTTTTTCGGGCGCACGGATCAACCGATTTGAATGGTTTAAAAAACATTCGATCCCTATTGATAAGGAGATGTGCTGATTAGTTTTTGGCAAAGGCAGGTCTCCAGCCATTACGGAGATACGGAGCAAAGAGTGAAGAAAATAAAAATCGAGTTTTTGAGAGAACGTAGTATCGGATTTGAATGATCTAAAAAACATTCAGTTTGTAAAGATTGGGAGAAGTGGTGATTAGTTTTTGGTAAAGACAGGTCCCGCCATTACGAAGGTACAGAGCTAAATGTGCAAAAAATGGCAGTTTTTGAGTGAACTAAGCGTCCGATTTGGATGATCTAAAAAACTTTCTGCTATACAAGCAATTGCTTTTGAGGATAAAAAATTATTACATCTTTTTTATTTTCGTAAAAAATATTTTTGTAATTTTGGATTAAAAATTCAAAAAATTACCCAGTCTAAGCACAGTCTAAGCGCCACTCTGGTACAAATGTTTACCCAAGTGCGTTTAGACTGTTTATGTACTAGAGCACTTTTCCAATTTTGTGAAAATTATTGAAAAATGTGAAAATGCCGCCAAGCTAATCACAGTATAAGTGAAAATGTCGCACAGAATTATTTGCAAATGCAAATGTTTAGACTGTGATTATACGGGAGCACTTTTTCAATTTTGTGTAAATTAAGCAACTATTTTTTTGAAATTGAATTCGAAATGAAATGACGATTGTAAATGTTCAGGAGATAAATTGACTTATGATTTATATTTGATTTGCTCAGATATAACAAGATAGCAAAAATAATGAAAGTAACAGTATTTGTAATAATATATTCGAAAACGTTTAAAATTTCTCGAATATTTCATTACGGTACGGGATGTTCCAGCAATTTGTCTCAAGGCACTATGCCGTACACCACTAGTTAAAATTATTATAAAGAAATATGTTACAATAGTTACCTCTCCGAAAACGTTAGTTATCGCCGAAAAATTTGGTTTGCCAATTTTATGTTTTCTCGACTTTAAAGTCATTCTGAAACGATTGAAACCAAATTTAGAAAATGAATGTGTGTGATTTAAAATTTGACCTTTTGTCGACGTTTTTTGAAAATCTCTGCTTAATTTTGAACAACAATCGTCAGAGCCGTTTTTCTTTAGATTTACAGGTCAAGTGTAAAATTCGTCCACGTTTTCGGAAAAAATCCGAAACAGATTTTGCAAAATTTAAAAAATGTGTGAAAATTAGTTGAGAATCTAAAATAATTAAAACGTTTGTGCCGTGTACTAAACGAAAGTTTATTGAAATAATTTCTATATTATTCATAACTTCTATAAATCTTTGAAGTTATTAAAATGGAAAATATTTTAGGCAAGACAGATATTACAGCTGCTCAAAGAATGAGATTATATCGCCAGTGAAAAGGTAAAAAAAAATACCATTAGTCAATGAATGTATGTTAATTTTAATTACATGAAGTTTGTTCAAACACAATTATTACATGATGAGTGAAATTGTGAAAACAATATTTTTTAGGCGTCATTTAACATAATCCACTGTGTGAACGAATATTATAGAATTTATTGATAACCAATTACTTCATTTCTCTAATGAAGATTCAAGTCGTAAATGCTAATTACAATGACAAACCGATCATGTCATATTTGAAGTATGACTTCAATTACATTATTGTTTTTAAATATACATATTTTTAATGCTATAATGAATATATAATTTATAATTTATCATTATATAAATGTGTATACTAATGGTTGACACTAATAAATGTGTGTATCACGAGTGTTACCATATTACTAATAAACATTATTCAAAACTGTTATATGATGTATTTATTTACAATTGAAATGCCATCCTGTGATAAAAAAAGTTTTACTTCAATCGCGTGTGAACCTTACGCGCAATCTTTTATTAAATAAAATATTTTAAAAATTACATACTCATATACATACGTCTTTGATAAATTTTATGTATTTCAATACAAATATCAATTTCGTTTGATTTATGTCTTTTTATCTGTTGCGGAACATGTGTTCCGACGCAACGTCGTCCGTCCTCCGTCAATTGTGTCTATTATTAGGAAAATGCGTTAGTTATTTCGGTCACAGTCTCTTGTGTCTGAAGAACTAATTTTAGAGATAGTGGAAACACGAGACTCTTTTCCTAGTTATTTTAAAATAGTTATAAATACTCCGTTTCTAGGGGACTGGTACTTCCAAAGGTTGGGTGAAACTGATGAGTGTCCCTTCGGAATGCAGTTAAATATAGTTTCTTTTTATAATTTGAGTGCGTTGGGAATTGAACTTTCTTGGATGATATTTTTGAATAGGAAAATAATTTTAGATTTTACTTTAGTTAACTAAAAATAAAATTAAAGTCATACTTCAAATATGACATGATCGGTTTGTCATTGTAATTAGAATTTAGAAATGAAGTAATTGCTGATTAATAATTTCTATAATATTCGTTCATGCACACAGTGGATTGTGTTAAACAATGCCTAAACAAATATTGTTTTTGCAAATTCACTCATCATGTAATAATTGTGTTTGAAGAATTTCATGTAATTAAAATTAACATACATGCATTGGCTAATGGTATTTTTTTCACTTTTTCGTTGGCGATATAATCTCATTCTTTGAACAGCTGTAATATTTGTTTTGCCTAAAAAATATTTTTCATTTTAATAACTACAAAGAATTATAGAGACTACGAATAACATAGAAATAATTTCTAATTAATAAACTTATGTTTAGTACACGGCACAAATGTTAAATTTGTTTTATTATTTTCAAGGAAAAGGGTAAAATATTCTTTTGATTCAGACATTTTTAATTAAATCAAAATTTGTACTACGACGTAACTTTAAAATGTTTATTTATCTACGCCGATTTCCTTGTTGATATCGGTACGCATACAACGTTGATGCCGGTACGCGCATACAACGACAGAAATCTATTTACATACACGACGACCAATCACAATCGACGAGCATAGAAATGATATCATCGAGAACGAATGATGAATCATTGGCACTCGACTCTTATCTGCCGTAACGCACTTCCGTTGCATTTGTACAGATTTTTAGAAGTTTTACTTAAAAAAGATCTTCATATGTCTAGGGATATTTTAACTTCCCGTAGGGCAAGTTATAGTAATCGCAAAAAAATCGAAAATGAACATTTTTATATATATTTACGTTTCAAAACCTTCTGAACATTTTGGCATACCTTAAAAAAATGGATGTATGTGTGTGTGCGAGTATGTATGTGTGTGCGGATACAAATTTTCGTCGACGATTTCGGGAACACGGATGAAGCGATTTGAATAATTCAAAAAGCATTCGATTCGTATTGATAAGGAGACGTGCTGATTAGTTTTTGGCAAAGGCAGGTCTAGCCGTTCCGAAGATACGGGGCAAAAAGTCCCAAAAATGGTAACTCAGTTTTTACGAGAACGGAGCGTCCGATTCTAATAATTCAAAAAACATTTTACTTGTATTAACAAGATGAAGAATCAAATTTTCATGAAGGCAGATCTAGCGGTTTCGGAGATCTAGTGAAAAAAGTAAAAAAACGCCATTTGGCGGTCAAAAATGATCATTAGACATTTTATAGAAATTTTAATAATAAGTATACATTTTGTTTACATTCCTATGGGTTCCGTACCAATGTTTAAACGTTAGACGGCGACGGGGCGCTTACGCGCTTTGAAATTTCGTCTCTATGCAGTTAAAGCAGTACGATTGCTTTGAAAAAAAGTTCAGAATTTCCAAAATATGTCAAAATAAAGAAATTATTTTTAAATTATATTTTTAAATAAACAAAGTACTTTTTTGTCAAATTTATAGTTTCTCAAAAATCTAATTTGTTCGAAATAAATTTTTTTCAACAATGTTAATCTTTTTTTAAAAAAATGATATTTTTTGGTACGGAAAGTTCCAGCAATTTGCCTTAAGGCACGATGCCATGCGCCCCACTAGTTTTTCACTTTAATTAGAGATATTTATTACCATCACCAGCTGTGATTCAAAAAGTCACTGATTCTTATTTATCTATTCGTCTATGTAAATTTATAAGTATTCAGAGATGTTTTATGTGTGTGAGATGTGGCAGAGAAGCCTATAAATAAAACATATGATGATACGATACCGCAACGATTCGACGTCTCAAAGTGTCGAGCGGTATTTCTGTGTTGGGTCAATAACTTTTTCTGGTAAATCTGCAATATTGGATTCAGATGAGATGAGATGAGGTGAGATGAAGGCAATTGGCAGACGCTGAGGTCAGTGGATCTTTTATCCGAAATCGATAGACTACGTAAATATTTAGTCTGCCAGAATAATGAATACATCTATTTATTCTAAATTTATATATATATATATATATATATATATATATATATATACTAGCAAACCCGACGAACTCCGTTTCGCCACCAGATAGTTTCGTGAGAAAGATGAAGAAATTTTTGTTTGTTTTATATTTGAAAAAGAAAAATTTGATTTTATTACACAACAGTAATGAATTAATTTCGATTACAAAAATGAAGTGTTTTTAGTTGAACTTCTCTAAGTAAATGATAGTAAATCCGCAAATTATCCGTTTCATTGAAGTGCTCTTTGGTAAACCACATTTTTTGTTT